CAACAGGGGTGGCTATAATTCAAAACAAAAGATCAGCAGCGGCATACAACATACACATCAATAATGTATTGGGAGATGAGATAGAAGGAAGATGGGTAAAGGTCAACTTTGAATTGCACGATGAGCCTTACACGTTGGTATCAGTATACTGCCCCAACTCATTACAACAACGGGTACAATTTATAGATCGCCTCCAGGGGATTTTGGAGGCGGAGAGACACTTAATAATTGTAGGGGATTGGAACGCCGCATTGGGATCTGGGATGATGGCTTGTCTGAGGAGGCTTTGCCGGGTCATAGGCTGATGACTAGTACAGACCTGGTGGACCCCTACAGAGTGTATTTTTCAGATGAAAGACAATTCACATACTTAAAGAGAAATCGCAGCCAACATGTATCGGCCTCAAGAATAGATTACTTCCTAACATCACCAGGTATAACAGGCATGATACACTCTGTAAGTATAGGGGATTTGCCATATGGGACGGGATTAGACCACAAACCCATTCACCTACACTTGGTAACGGATAAACAGGTCAAAAGAGGAAGGGGGTTTTACAAGCTAAATAACTCGTTGTTGAGAACACAGGAAATGAGGCGGGCAGTGCTCCAGGTCTGTCAAGATCATAATACAAAATCTCAAACCTTCCCTGAGTTGCTAATAGCACTGTCCAAAGCCTCGGCAGGGGTGGCTCGGATGTTGGCGGCTAGAAGAAAGGAAAGAGAGCTAGAGCTACAACAAATAATAAGACTAGCGGAGTGCAACATTATCAACTCCCCAGGAAATGACATCTACGAAGCAGCACTCGAAGTAGCAAGGGAGGAAATGGTTGAATGGCAGCGATGGAAAACAAGAGGTCTGCAAATGAGGGCCAAAGTCAGAGAATGGGAGGAGGGAGAACGAATGACTAAATTCTTTTTCCAAAAAATAAAAACTAGCGGAAGAAACAATCTCATAGCTCAACTCGAGGGACCACAGGGAGTAATCTCGGACAAAGAAGGAATGCTCCGGGTCGCCTTTGATTTCTACAACAATTTATACAGGTCAAGAGAGGGGGAGTATGCAAGGCAACAAGTGGTAGACGCACCGACAAAGTTCCTCAACCATCTGCAAACAACGATATCGCCGCCTCATGCAACGAGACTGGATGCTCCGCTGACTCACGAGGAGTTATGGGAAGCAGTAAGATCTATGGCCCCAAATACCCCCCCAGGGAAGGACGGTCTTACCAGGGAATTTTGGTTAGAGTTCTAGCCAATCTTGGGTGAGGAATATTTGGCCTTTTTAGAGCAAGCGTGGCAAGCTGAAGGAATAGGTGAAGAGCAAGCAATAAGAATAGTAACACTACNGCCAATCTTGGGTGAGGAATATTTGGCCTTTTTAGAGCAAGCGTGGCAAGCTGAAGGAATAGGTGAAGAGCAAGCAATAAGAATAGTAACACTACTCTACAAAAAGGGGAGTCCGTCAGACATACACAATTATAGGCCAATAACCCTTTTAACTCTTACGCACAAGATAGTAGCCAAGGCGTTAGYGAATCACCTATCAGCCATCACTGCGAGTTGTTTTCATACAGATCAAACGAAATTTATTCCGGGAAGGTTCATTCTCGATAATRTYATGACACTATCGGAGACAGTTCGTTATATCAGGGATAAGAGAATGAACGCARCAATATTGTTCTTCGACTTTGAAAAGGCGTATGATCAAGTTAGTTGGYCTTTTCTTGAAAGGACGGTCTTACCAGGGAATTTTGGTTAGAGTTCTGGCCAATCTTGGGTGAGGAATATTTGGCCTTTTTAGAGCAAGCGTGGCAAGNTTCTTGAAAGGACGGTCTTACCAGGGAATTTTGGTTAGAGTTCTGGCCAATCTTGGGTGAGGAATATTTGGCCTTTTTAGAGCAAGCGTGGCAAGTTGAAGGAATAGGTCAAGAGCCAGCAACAGGAATAGTAACGCTACTCTACAAGAAGGGGAGTCAGTCAGACATACGCAATTATAGGCCAATAACCCTTTTAACTCTTACGCACAAGATAGTAGCCAAGGCGTTAGCGAATCGCCTATCAGCCATCACTGCGAGTTGTTTTCATATAGATCAAACCGGATTTATTCCGGGAAGGTTCATTCTCGATAATGTTATGACACTATCGGAGACAGTTCATTATATCAGGGATAAGAGAATGAACGCAACAATATTGTTCTTCGACTTTGAAAAGGCGTATGATCAAGTTAGTTGGCCTTTTCTGCAGCAATGTATGGAAAAGATGGGGGTGGGCCCGAACTTCAGGAAGTGGAAAGGGTCCTCTATAACGATGCGCAGGGGCAGGTGCAGATTAATGGGTACCTTTCCCCAACTTACACGATGTCGAGATCGGTTAGACAAGGGGACCTCTTGGCTGCTCCCATTTTCCTATTCATAATGGAAGTAGTAGCCTCCTTCTTACGTAAGGATCCATCAATACAGAGAATGATTGCACCACTGGATCAACAAGGACATATGATAGAACTACCCACTACAATCCTCTTTGCGAATGACTTAACAGTTCTTATAAGAGCCTCCGACTCCTCGTTTCAAGCACTCACAAGGGCAATGGAGGCATTCCAACTTGCGTCGGAAATGAAGGTTAATTGGCAGAAAACAATGGGGTGGTGGTTGACAGAACAATACCAAGAACACACACTTCCAACCAATAATCCGGATGGCTTCCAGTGGTTGACAGCACAAAAACCTATCAGATACCTGGGCATTAAAATAACGGAAGGAGGAATGCATCACTCCATGGCAGCGGACCTAATGTCCAAAATTTTGGTAAAACTAGGGGCCTGGTCGGCAGTGTACACGTCAATATATGGAAGGGCACTGATACTTAATGCTTCAATTTTCTCAATGCATTGGCATGTTGGGTCCATCTGGTCTCCACCAAAAGCTTTGGCAGTTCTATTGAGAAGAAGAGCGGCGGCGTACCTACGGACGACCAAAGGGAACAATGACTGCTTCATTTCTAAAGTAGCATGGAAACATGTAACTAGACCCAAGCAGCAGGGGGGCCTAGGAGTGATAGACCCGGATACCCAACTGAAATCGCTTCAGACCAAATGGGTGGTCAAATTAATCTCTCAACCAAGGTTATCATGGACGCCATTGGTAATGGACAGGATTCGACAAATGGCTAAGTACAAAACGCTAGGCAATATGTCAGGTCTGTTCTGGGTTATATGTGGTAATTGGGCAAAGGTAGGCACCAGGGAAGGGACTAATACAGAACAAGAGGAGGTAGCTCAGAACTCTGCGTATTGGGTTCAACTCCTTCGGCATTGGAAGGAGGTCTTCCCGACAAGAGTCAGAGAACCGATCACAAGGGAGGAAGTTCTTAGGCAGCCATTATTCTGCAATGCAAATATTAAGGATGGACAGGGTAAACCACTGACGCTTTCGGTGACAGACACGAAGTGGGGAAGGTGGCTAGAGCATGGGGTAGGCAGGTCAAACATCTCTGGGAAGAAGGTGAGAAGAGGTGGAAAACGGTCACAGAACTAAGGATACGACTGAAAGGATGTCACAAATTACCAGGAAATCTAGAAATTGTTTAAGGAGCCATACCGCTAGCGTGTAAGCTTCGGCTGCATACCGAAACGCAGTGGGGATTGGGAGATTGGGCTACATGGGAAGACAATAAGGAACCCAAGGAGGTCTTCAGGATCTGGGGGCCAGAGCCTTCTAGACCAGATTGGCTAATAACAGATAAATATCAAATACTCCAGCCATCCATCACCACGTCCCAACTGGATGGTGCGACTAAAGCACCGATATTCATCCTGAAACAGTATTTGCGGAAAGTTAGGGTGGTGGAGACAAAGATATTTACGGTATACAATCCGACAGTGCCAATTGAGGAACTGGAAGTGGATCCAGCGGAACATCAGAAGTGGTCAAGCAGGAACATCAAGGAGAGTAAATATCTTACACTACACCACAAGAATAGGGTATAGATTGAGGAGCCGATCTTACTCCATGACACCGACGCTGCTCAAGAGATGGAAAAAGAGGGTAGGGGTCGCCAGAGGACAACTGACATACATTCCTTGGGCAAACATAGGGGCGATACGGCTGGGCCCGGTCAGGAGCATGCAATGGCTAATAGCTCACATGGCACTCCCAGTGAACGTCTGGCTTAATCAACGAAGAAGTCGGACGCAGAGAAGTGGGGACAAAGAGTTATGCAAGGTATATCAGGAAGGAATATTAGAAACAATGCAGCATTGCCTACTAGAATGTGAGGAGGCAACTGCGATCTGGGAAGTGGCCAGGGGTATCTGGGGCCAAGTAACAAAGATTGCTTTCCTAGACTCAAAAGATTTCTTTACTGCTGGGTTTACGGGTTCCCAAGCAATGGCAACCTTTTCAGAAACATATGTTCCAGATGGTGCGACAATACGCCCTCTGGACTATTTGGAAGCGTCGATGCCAAGTCACAATTGAGGGAACAACAATGCATAGGCAAGAGGCTAAGGACATTTTCCTAACCCTCACCGAAACACATCTCAAGGCTCAGTGGAAAGTTGTGAGGAACCAAGTACGTCAGCAGCCAGAGCAAGAGGAAGAATCATGAAACGCTTCAAGCAAATGTACTAGGTAACGGAGCAATAGCAACTGTCCAGGGAGCACATTTGATGTTTAAATGGAGAGGGGGGTGAAAGGGATGAGGGGATAAAAGGCATTTGCACAGGATTGGGAAGATTTTGGGTGAGGAAGTGTGGTCGATGGAGAACAGTGGGGAACAGGGAGGGTTTAAGTTTCAAGAGTAGCAAATGGCGGAAAACAGGGAGGGCTTACGGTCAGGGGTTGCAGTCAGTTGGGGAAGATTCGAGACGACGGAAGAGTGTAATTCTAAGGGGGGGGTGGGTAATTCTAAGCAAGTAGAGGGAATAAAAGGAACCGGACTGATGCAATGAGGGAACAAGGAGGGCTTAGGGTTTATGGGTTGTAGCCGACGGAAAACAGTCCGGGTACAGGGAGGGTTTAAGGTTTAAGGGTAGTAGTAGCCGGCGGAAAACAGCCCGGGTACGGGGAGGGTTTAGGGTTTAAGGGTGGTAGTCGGCGGAAAAACAGGGAGGGTTTACAGTTTAAGGGTTGCAGTCAGTTGGGACAGAATCGAGATGAGAGAGGACAAGGGATGGAGTAATTCAAGGTAAGTAGGGTGCAAGAGACCGGATAGGTAATATATGGGGTCAGGGTAGCATAGGGAGAAGCAGCTAAGTGCTTTTCTTGGTATTCACGAGTCATATGCAGGTCGATTTATTCGGCCTGAGAGGAAAAGGCTTAGCAGGGCAAGATGACTAGGATAGACGAAGTAGGATAAAGATAGTATAGGCAGGGGGGACGGGTGGTACATCCTTCCTCACGGAAGTAATCAATGCTGCCTACTCGGGCCTCCCATCCATAATGGGGAGGAGCGTGTGTATGTTTTTATGTACTCCAATTTGACTTCCCGGGGGAATAGGAACCGGACTGTTGCTCCCCAGAATGGTAGGAGCCAGAACCAAGAGGTTCTGTTTTTTTTTTTAAAAAAAAAAAAAAAAAAAGAGGAACCAGACTGACGCTCCCCAGAGCAGCAGGAGGGGCTTCCTTTTTTCTTTTTTTTATAACAATAAGGACAAGATTGAAAACACATACAAACTTGCAGATTTCACTACTAGCTTGTGGCTGCAAAAACATGGGCTCTAACCTGTTTCTATGTCTGCAGACCTAGTAAGATGTAGCAGTTGCAGCACAGCAGCCCCCATTGTACGAGTCATTTCTGTGCTTTTCTGTAATGGGAGTTAGTAACCAGGTATACTAGCCGGTTTGAAATCAGTGAACATTAGTGAATGTACAAGGGCAGGATTTCACAAGAAACTGGAATGTGTGATTACCTCACAGTCAGGCTGGGATTTTCCAAGGGTACATGAGTGGAAATGGGTACATTCTGGAGGTGGAGCTTTCTTCTTGGATTGACCTTGACATTGGTTTGTGGTCTATGCAGGTGGAAGAACAAGGGCGCGCAGCGGGGAGAGAGAGAGAGAGAGAGAGAGAGAGAGAGAGAGAGAGAGATCTAAGAACCTTGATAGGCAACTAGGGGGGGAGAAGAACCATGGATGACGAAATGGAATGGCTGCTTCAGGGCGAGTCAGAGATGTTGGAAGAAGATCAGGGGTGTATTAATGACCCCTCCTGGCCAGGGCCTCTGGATGATGATTTTCCATCTTCTGCTACAGGTACCATGGTCCCCATGCACCTGAGAAATGTTGTGTTTTATTCTGTTGCTGGCTTTGGGGTTTGCTTATTTTGGAAATGGGCTCCTTTGGATCTGCAATGACCTGCACAGAATCAGTCTGATGTTACGATCCTGGCCAATTTCGAAGTACACATTCATGAGAAAGTACAATGCCGTCCAATTGCAAAAAGAAATGAATGAACTTGAGAGGAGAGAGAGGGAAAGAAGAAGAAGAAGAAGATGAAAGAAAGAAGACGAAGAAGATGTACGCCAGCATAGACCAATGATAATTTCCTCGTTCTCTTCAACCTCTCTCCTCCTCCTTTTCTCCTCTCCTCTTATTCAAACAATAAATAACAATAATAATGTTGAATGGCTGAACCAGAATCAATGTCCGAATCCCTCTTCTACTGCAGGCACAACATGAGGTCCACCATAGCCATGGCCACCCTTCTTCTTCCTCTTCATGTAGGCCAGGGTTATGGCAGACTACTAGGGCCTCGCCCTGCTGTGCAAAGGACAACAGAAAAGCAGCTATGCTCGCTGCTGTTCAGGCCGCCATGCCTGACTCTGCCTTGAAGCCTTCTTGGTGCGGCGCAATCCCAACTGGGGCCTTCTAGATGCAGCGCCTAACAAGGTGATGAAGATGGTGCCCACCATAGCCAGTAGGTACCTTGCCACTCTCCTCCTCCTCCCTGTAGAGCTCCACCGTAGCCGAGGTGGGAGCTCCCGGTTTCCTTCCTCCTAGCAGCGCTGAAGTGCCCAGCGCTCCTCCAGCCAACGCTCCAAGCGTGTCGCCAAACTTGCACACCGAAGAACGAGGAGGAGCACTTTGCTCCTCCTGGAGATATAGCGGCCTACTTGCCTCTTGGGCGGTGACTTTTTAGGCCGCGCAGCCTCCAAGCAACCGGTACCTCCTCCCTTTCGGAGGGAAACATCATTGCAGACTCTGATATTGCCCGTACAGGCCCTAGACTCAGACTGGTTGGACTGGCCTAGACCTAGCCTACAACTACCGGGCCTCTAAAAATGCCAATTTTTGTCTTCTTCTGCTCGGCCTCGAGTACCCGGCACCGGCCTACCTGCTACTTGAGTGTTTTTCCGCTGCTCTAAGTGTCGCGGGCCTATTGCCCCACCACTTGACTGTTTTCCCCTGCTGCAACCCTCAATGTCATGGCCACAGGTAAGTACCGGCCCTACGGGCCTCCCAAACAAGCAAGTACCCTTGCAGGTCACACACACACTCAGTCCGACAACCACTCAGACAGGCATGAAGGTCACCAAGCATGCACACACACACACACACTTAGAAAACTCAGCAGAATGCGGGAATCTCAGCAAGGCATCCATTCCATCGGCAGAACTCAGAAGTCAGCAGTGTTCTCAGTCTGTGTTATGGCGGGTCATTACACTGAGATTTATGCTGTTTTCTGAGTATTGCTGCTTGCTCGTCTGATTTGCTGAGATTTCCGTTGAAGTGCGGGTTTGCTGTTTGCTTGCATGTGTGTAAGTCCCTGTGTGGTGATTGGTATGTGGAGTACTAACTGTGTGCTTGCCCTGTGCTTAGTGTGTCCCGGGAATGGTAGATTAGAAATAAGGGAACCGCAGGGACAAGACTGAAATTGGGCACTGGACGCACTTCTAGGAAGGCCAGCACAGACATGGACTAGTAGAATTTGGTAGTACCCGGTAGGGAATTTCCAGCAACTCGGGTGGGCCCAGCAGGCGTCCGGTAGGGGTAGGAGAACCCGATAGCTTTTAAAAGGTGATGAGTTGTCAGGGCCCAAACGTAGATATCAGGTAGGTCAGATTCAGGCACTGAAGTAGACTTGCAGGCTGCAATGATGTTCCAGCAAAAGGCAGGAACTTCAGGTAGGCTAGTACCCCAGAGAGGCAATGGTGCTGTGACCTTAAGTGAAACAGCGAGGCGGAGTTGCAAGAGCATATATTCGGGGACGCTGAGTGCAGCGGGATTGAACCCAGTAGTCATGTTGCTGCTCCGCCCAGAGGGTGAAGGCAGGTGGAGCTCCTGCTGAGCAATGGAGCTGGACGGTGGAGAAGAAGACCTCCCTGGGTATGGAGTAGTAGTACGAGGAGGGAGTAGGGCTTTGCTATGGAGGTAAAGGGTGAAGCACCTCATGCGAGGCTCTGGCGAAGGGTTAGGGAAGGGTGTAGAGGATGTGGAAAGGGAGTGAGAGAGGAACCGACATGAGGGACACCTGTGGCTATGGTCGACCTTCATCTTGACTTCCTTTGTTGGCACTGCATTTAGAAGCCCCCTGTGTGAGTACCAGTTGGTCTTGGAGTTGATCCAAGAGTATGGCTATGGCGGAATGAGATGGGAGAGGCATATGTTGTTCTTTGAACATCCGTGATGAGCTTGGATGGTCCACAATAGTGGTAGTTGCAAGTTGCAACTGAGGAGAGAGAGGTGAGGTTATGGCCGAAAGGAGGGCACTTTTTGGGTTCTGGCGATGAGGGGGAATACTCGGACATGATTCTTGTTCATTCATTCATTTGTTGTTGTACTTAACTGATTATGAGAAGAGGAGGAGTAAGGGAGAAGGGTAAGAAAGAAGAAGTGAGGGGGGAAACATTGGTTCAACTTGTGTAATTCTTCTTCTTTTATTCTTTTCATTCTGTTCCGCTCTTTATCTCTCTCCACTTCTTCTTTTGAGTTCCAGAAAGTCTCACATTTTCTCAATTTGAGCTCTGCATTATGAATGTGGTAGGATCGTAGCAATTGGTATCAGAGCTAGACATTACTTGCTCGTTAGGTGTTCAAGCCACCTTAACCCCAATTCCAAGATGGTTTGGCCAGCTTAATCTCGGATTAGGGCGTTGTTAAGCTGGATTAAGTAGCGAGTTGCTTTGCTGCTACTCGAGCCCTAATTCTGAGAGGGGTTGGGTAGTGTATGCTGTGGATTAGGTCTTGGAAGCAAGTGCTGAGGTAGTACTGTAGTGGTGACTCGTAGACTGCACTACCCTAATTCCGAGAGAAGTTGGGATGCAATCGATTTGGATTAGGGGTGAGTTGGGGATTGGGGTTGGCAAGAGAAGCGGATTTTCTGATCTGGCATAGCTTGTCCCTCCTCCTCCTTGCCTGTCCCTCCTCCTCCAGGTCTGTCCTTCTTCCTCTTCATCTGTCCTTCCTTCTCCTGCCCCCCCACTGTCAGTTAATGAACAAGGAGAGAGAGAGAGAGAGAGAGAGAGAGAGAGAGAGAGAGAGAGAGAGAGAGAGAGAGAGAGAGAGAGAGAGAGAGAGAGAGAGGGAGNGAGAGAGAGAGAGAGAGAGAGAGAGAGAGAGAGAGAGAGAGAGAGAGAGAGAGAGAGAGAGAGAGAGAGAGGGAGGGAGGGAGAGAGAGATCCCTGACAGGGAGAGAGAGATCCCTGACAGGGAGAGAGAGAGGGAGGGAGAGAGAGATCCCTGACTGGGTGATCGGTGGCTCCTCCTCGCGATGGACGATGCACTGCCTTGTCATTGCCTGAGATGCTGAGCTGGCGGCCTGCAGCGGCAAGATTGTGGTGACTGGGAAGAGGTGCGGTGGGCCGACTTCAAATGGGTGCTGGTGAGGCGAAGCAGCTGGAGGGGTCGACGATGGCGCGGCAGCGGCAGGTGTCCACAACTGCAAGGCAGAGGGAGGAATATATGCGCCTCACTGCACCACTCAAACAAATTCACAAAATATAAAACTTATGGTGGTGTATATTCGATGTTCGACCAGAAGATTCACCCTCATGTGCACATTGGTGAGTGGTGCGTTGAGGCCTGATAACTGCACAGCATGGGACAACATGCGAAGCACTAAAGTGGGATTGATTAAAAAAAAAACAATCCATCCTGCCACCTCCACATGCCAAATGAGAAATCGGTATCTCCTAGGGTCCTGGCCTGTCTGCTAGGGCGTGCCAGACCCAAAAAGGGATCAGAGCATGTTTGGCAGGGTGCCAGGACCCCAAAAATCGACCTGGGGGCCCTTCTGTTTTTTCAAATTTCTGCTGGGTGGGGCCAATCCGAACGCACTGGATGGAACACCAGACCCTGGCATGTGGACCCGCTCCATCTGCATTCCGATCCAGATATCTGGCCGGTTACCAGGCATTGAACTGTAATTATAACAATACAAAAAGGAAATTCCTCGCAACTTCTTGTTTTTTTTTTCTCTTGATCCGGACATTTCTGGGTCCTGGAACCCGATACTCAATGTCTGGGTCTGGTAGTGTCCAGATGTAGGGAACGTTCGGGTGGGTTCAGGCCAATTTCCAGTTTTTGGTCTGGATCAGTCTGGCGTCCTGGTCCGTGGTTGCCATGATTATTATCTTTCAAATCCCCATCCCGTCCCTATCCATCCCCACCGAATCCCTACCAATCACAATCTTGATCTGGATCCAATCTCAATCCAATCCCAATGAAATCCTACTGGCATCCCCATCATATCCCTGTCGAATCCCCATCAATGATCAAACCTCTTTCAAATTCCCGTCAAATCAGTTAAATGATTAAATCCCTATTAAATCCTTGTCAAATCCCCATCACATCGTCTCCCATCCCCTCATAAGATCCCATTCCATGACTCTTACCATGAAAAGAGAGTGCCGACTACGTGAAGGACAGATGCGTTTCTTCATCGACCACCGTGTTCAACGACCGCGGGAACATGACCTGCAACAGGGATACAAACTTGTGTCCGTTCTTTGCAATAGTTTAAGCGCAGGCCTGTCTTCCAGACCACCTAGACTCAGTCCGTGACTTGCAAAGAGTCGGTGAACAACTGGATCATGAAAATGGCACTCTTAACTGCCAGACCAGTAGACATGAGTATTGAGTTGCCCTGTCAAATATTGTGTGAGCAATACAGGATCAATCCACTTCTGAGAAAGCAGTTCGTTAATCTCTATATTCAGAGAGTAAAAAGTTAAAAATCTGACGATCCACCGGCGGACCTTGCTCAGTCAGTACACCGGTGAACTGTTGAAATACAGAATCAAGTTCGAGTCCAG